ATGGACTGTGGTTTCAATGGCACCCGTACCACAGGGGACTACATGGTGCTCATTCCTTCACACGTTTGCTAGTAAGCTTATGCTTAAATGGAATTTAAGGCATCAACACCCTTGATTTCTAGAAGGCTGGTCTTCCTTGATTTGACAACTCGCAGGGGTATTAAGGCAAGAAACCCCATCACTCCCAGCCACCATGGTCCAGCTTGGGAAGAGCAGAGTAGACAAAAGAGTGACTCCCCACCCACAGGAGTTTACCTGGATAATATGAGCAGCCAGTTCAGGTGTGCCATGCTTCAGGTCATGCCCATTGATAGCCAGCACCTTGTCGTTGCTACAGAGTCGGCCATCCTGAGCAGCCAACCCCCCTTCCAGAAGGTCAAGAATAAATACCCCTGGCTCATCTGTTCTGCGCACCAGCTTAATTCCAAGCTGTTCATTGGAGTCTCGTTTGTGTAGGGTCAGATGGAAGCTATCCTCTCGCTGGAGAGGGCTATCACTGTGGTTGTGTGTTCGGCTTACAAATCGTCTCTCTCGGAGGACAGTGAGATGCAGCGAGGTACAGGGCTGGGAAAGGATGGCCCTGGCGTGGTTGTGAGACACGTTACTGATGTCAAAATTATTCACCTGAAAGAAAAGAAGCAGAAAATGTAAGCTGGACCTGTGACAACTTGCCCCTGTTCAAGGTTCCAGACAGCCATGCCTCTTTCCAGGAGACTCCATTTATTTCCATACCGCTTTTTGGCACCAGTTTCCCATCTTCCCTGTCTGTTCCTGCAATAATCAGTCACCATGAACACATTTAGCCCTAGGATTTTGCATTTCTGGAAGTTTTCCCACTATCTTTTCTGCATAAAATATGCTGTTCTGGGTGTATAAGGGTAAGCATTCAGAGAATGAGTGAGCTATTAATATACAGGATTCACACTTTGTAAGACTGGAGCCAAATGTACTGAACATTTTTCACAAATATTTTTGGCAATTTCAAGAATAACCTTTAGGGAATTTTTCTTTTTGCACTTAGGTCCATCATTTGAAAACATCTACATATCTACCCATATTCGTCTGCTTTTGCCATCACTGATAGCCAGGCATGATGCTGATAGCCAGTGATATACTTTGTATAATGAATCGTTCCACCCCTATAAGCCTCCCCCTACCTGGTGCCTTCCAGAGGTATTGGACTACAATTCCCCAGTTACATCAGTTTGGGGGAGCATGGGCTACATGATGAGGAAGGAAGATAAAGAAGAACCCTGAAGGAAAAAGCCTGAAACAGCAGAAAGAAAAAGCTGTAGTATCACTTAATAGAATGAAAAAGACCAACCCAAGATCTAAACTGCTAAATGTGTTAACACCTTACGATTAGAATAATCACTGAGACTCAAACAATTGTTTCCTTTTTACATTCTGTGTGAAATAGCTGCGTGCCACATTCTTGAGTATTAGTAAAGGTGTAAAAAATATATTCTACTTCTTTCTCTTTTAATCTGTTTTTCTCTCTTTTAACCCACGATACACTTCAGTATTCCCGAGGCATGTTAATTAAACTTTGTGTCAGAGTTTCCCTTTCTCACTAACTATTTGTTTTCTTTTCCTGCCAGCAGAGAGCATATTCTCAGAGACCCCAAATTTGGGGGAAATTCTGCAAAATCCTTCTCAATTGCATATTAATGAACTTTTATTTAAATTTTAAGGGAATTGAAGCAACCCAGTTTACCAAGGCAAAATACTGTAATGATAGCTCTTTGATACTGATAATATGTACTAATAGAGAGAGAGGAAAATCAGGAGTCACAGTAAACATGGAAAGATGATCTATTCAGGAAGCCCAAGGGAGTCCACTGTTTCAGAAAGCAACTTTGGAATTCTTTCTTGTCTTATTTTGCCATTGTATCTCTTGTTACAACCCAGGATAAATGCCTAGGATATATACCTGAAACTGCATGATGCTTCCGTAGCACCCCTAATCCCTTTACTAGCAGTTTAGACAACATTTACAAGCAGTTTAGACAACATTCCATGGACCTAACTAGGAAAACATAAACATCCTATCATTCACCTCTCAAGCTGTCAATTCTAGTATTTGAACCACATCCTTAAAAGGACTGCTGCCTTTGAACAAGTCACTTGAAACCTTCACCAGGCATAAGAATATAAGAAAGGTCCTGCTGGATCAGGCTTTAATCCTATCTAAACAAGCATTTTGTGTCGTGCAATGGCCAGCTGGATCTGTTTGGGAAGCTCACAAGCCTGGACTGGAGGGTGATGCCCCTTTTCACTGCTGCTTTCCAACAACCAGTATTTAGGGTGTGCAGTCTACAGTTCAGCAGCCACTGACTGCCTTGTCTTTCATGAACCTGTCCAGACTCCTTTTAAAAAACTCTGAGGACCACCCACTAAATTAAGGCCAGGCAAGGGGACAAGAGAAACAGTAGAGATGCATCCAGCTCTGACACAACATCTTCGTTCAGTTTGGTGAGAAAAAATGTTCTGTGACATTCAGGATGACAATCTCTGTGGCCTTCTTTTCAGCCTGCAAAATTGCCTCTGCCTCACTGTGCTCAAACTAAGTTCTCTGGGGAAGGAAAAGGAAGGAAACAGTACAGAAAGAAATTTGTGGAGGGAGGCAAGACTGGGCTTGAACTGATCCTTCCAATGGATTATGAATCTGAGCAACTGATACTTGTAAGCTTCCGTAATTGATTTCCTAAGACTCCAATAAGACTTTTCATCCTCAACGGCCCTTCTTCTGCAGATACAATGCAAGACCCAATTCTAATTTGAGAAGTTACGAACACTCACAAAAGCAGATCAAAACATTCTCAGATCTTAGTTTCAACCTAATCTCTTAGCATTTTTATGAAAAGGAAGACATGAAAAATGGTTTGTAACTGGGGGTCGGAGGTACAGAGCTCTAGAAATCAACAACTATAATTCATGCTGCTCTACTAAAATGATGTTGCTATATTTTCCAATGTATTACACAGAGGGCTATAAGTAACAGAAGCATTTCATATCACTCACAAAAGAAGGAATGAACAATCATCCTGATTTCCCTCTTTTTAAAAAAGAACTATCCATCTATTAGAAACAGGGATATAAAAAACATGAAATCCTGTTAAATCAAGAGTATCACTACTGAGAAAGCTTTTTTTTTCCCACTTTGCCTGCATTATAGTATGTTCTGACCACAAACTGCTCTGCTAACTTTCATCCCACAGAATTCCAAAAATGTGCCAGGAAATAATTAATTTTTCTTGCTTACTCAACATCTAATATATAGCTGCACAATCTGGACGCACCAGAGTTAAGAAGAATATATAATCAGATACGTACTTGCAGTATTTGATCTCCAGCAAGGAGCCTTCCATCTCTGGCAATGATTCCATCACGATAAACCTCTTGAATAACAATGTTGATCAAAGGTGTTTCATTGCCACCTACTATGCTAATTCCCAATTCAATATAAGGATTGGACCGATGAATTTCAATGGTGGTGATCTCACCTTCTGGTAAACTTGATGGCTGATGTGTTGCTGCCCAATTGGGAAAGAAGACAATATGTACAGATAAATACATTTTTAAATGCAACAACTTGCTAGACTAGAATAAAATAAAATGACATTGGAAATTACCTGAAATAATAAAATAATAAAGGAATAATAAAGGAATAATAATAATATAAAAAATGAAATAATAAAATAAAATGAAATGATCAAGTAAATTAAAATCAAGCCTGCATGACTTTTTGACCAAACTCAAATTGATAGTAGGTGGCTATTGTGGTGATGGCTAAAATGTGGCTTCTAACAGGGCTGCTAAGGCCCAAAACAGACCTGCAAGAGCTACATGGTGGTCATAGGTGGTGCAGTAATGAACCTAGGATTATCAGATTGCCATATGGCAGCTTGTGCTGGAGACCATGAGTCTCCAGTTTGGGATAACCATGATCGAGTTTTAGAAAATTGCTTCACAAAAAGATGTATGTGAAAGGCAAATGAAAATTCATCTTCTTATTTGGCTCTCAGACAAATTTAAAATGGAAATAGCTGTACACTTAAAGTGATACCATAGCTCAGTGTTTCTCAACCTTAGCAACTTTAAGATGAGTGGACTTCAACTCCCAGAATTCCCAGCTATGCTGACTGGAGAATTTAAACACTTTAAACACTGCCATAGCTATTCATATGGATGTATAAACAACACAATAGATTAAAAATGATGTTGTACATGTATATCCTGTTACTCGTATAAATGCTTTTTGTTTTAGGAGATATAAGTATAAACACCAGCATAGGCATGGAGCTCTCCAGATCCTGATTCTGAGCAAGCTGTACCTCCTAATTTTTGCAGATCAGAAGTTAATGCTATGGCTGTTATCAAAGTCATTCTGTTGACTGTTAAAAAGAAAGCCACAGCTAAATAAGATTCCTTTAAAAAAAAAAAAAAAGCCCTGCTGGTTATTTTTAACACAAGTATTTATCTTGTGCAGCCCTAACTGCTTCCCAAGGTTTCTGAAAACGAATGAAATAAAGGTTTAAAGAATACTGTCGAAAAGCTGATTATTCGCTTACATGCCAGGATAAAATCTGATTTCGAGACTTCTTAAAGTTTAAGGTTTAATATATACTGATCAAACTGAATGCTAAAAGAAAAAACATACTGTCAGTTCCTGTGTTCTCCTCAAAGGCAGGGTTGTCAAGGCCAGACTCATCTGTCCATACTGAAACTGCAGCTGATATCATGTTCTGCTCCACTGATGCCATTCCAGTTCCAGCATGCTCTACTTCAGGTGACTGGGAGTCCGGATGATCTATCATAGCGTTCTCATTTTCACATTCAGTGTCTGCCTGCAATTTGATGTTTATTCTTCTCTCCAAAGCAGCCCTTCGATTGGAAGCCCCAGGACACCTAGAGAAGAAATGCTTCTATATCATCACAAAAACAGGGAACAGATGCTTGAACAAAATAACTATCTTTAGTTACCTAATGTAATATAAGCTTTCCCGTATGGTGCCACTTGATCATCACTGACTATTGACTATGCTGGGTGAATGATGGGAGCTACAATTAAAAAAAAAAAACCTGGAAATAATCTGGAAATCACTGGAATAGTTGTTGCTACAATCCTGATATTTTACAGAGAACTAGTCAATGCCGCAAATGTCCTTTGGATCAGATCTTCCTGATCTCTTCACATACCGCATTTTGTTCAGGCTTTGGAACTTCTGTGGAGTCTTTGGTGCGCTCTGGGCTTGGTTGTTTGCTTGCAGAGGTTGCATTACGCAACCAGGTAACATCATCAGTGTGTGTGAGTGTGGGGTTTGCTCCCTGTTTATATACAGTAGCTTGCCCTGCCAGTTTTGCTGGGTGTGTGGTTTTCTCCTTGGTAGTTCCTTGATTAGGGTATTGTTTTCTGCTTGATTGTTCTGCTTATCAACACATGGTCAGACTCAACCATAGTTTCAATTGGGCAACTGTGAGCATCCTAGACCAACCTAAATCCAAAAACTCTAGGGAATTCCTGGAAGCTTGGCATTCAAACAAATCAGCCATCAATAGACACATAGAAATAAACTATATTTACACGCTATTCAAAAGAAACAATAAAAAAGCTAAGAAGGAAACAAAAGGACCAGAACACATCCTCTCCAGCAGCCAACACCTTGATAAGTAGGGATTAACACCAGGCAAACAATCAAGCAGAAAACAATACAATTAATATTAATTAATTATATAATTATAATATATTAGCTATATAAATTTGATAAATAAATAAAATAAAATTATTCAATTTTCCCTGAACCTCCCAAACACCTGCCCTTTATATTACATTGCCTTCAATCATCCCTTGAGCCCCATGGGAATTTTTTAACAACCTACAAGGGGCTTGTAAAGCAGAGATCTCTCTTTTTGTGGGTACCCTAGTGTGCATAGCTTTGATACCACCACCTACTTGTTACTTTGCAATCGAGAGCATGATACCGTCACTGATTTTTACTCTAGAAAAATAAGATTTTTGACTACACAGGAAAGGAGAAAAGATCAAGGAAAGCTCTACTCACGTGAAGAAACGTTATTTATGTGCTCCATTGGTTGTTAAAAAAACGGGAGAGCAAATTCAAGTAATCTAGCTGTATTATTCTCCCTGTTACCCACATTTTCGGTGACTCTACATGAGAGAATCTTTTCTACTCATCAATTGTGTCTACATTTCAGACTGCCAGAAGGGACGGAAGAAAGGTTCTTTCTTATCACATGATTTTTCACCCAAACAGAATGCTTACATAGGGCTAGAAAGCAGTAAAATATCAACAGTCCCAGAGATAGTTTCTTCCTCCTTTCATTTTGCTTTATTAAGAAACACAAGGCTGATCTATGGCTATCCATTTATCACCCCCTTTAAATAACATCCAGAGAAGAGGCAGAATGGGAAGGAAACAAAATAAATGAAGGCAGGCAGGGGGTAAAAGAGTCACGAGGAGCAAGTAACAGGGAAGATATTTATAATAACAAAATTGATTAGGTCTATCACCTCACCATTTACCTGTTTTTCAGGTGTGCTTCCAAGTCACATCTCTGCATTACTTCTTCACATACTGAAGAAAAGGGACATAGCACCAAGAGCTTGTCAAGCAGTTTGTGTACAAGGATGCTAGATTTTTTGCACAATTTAAAATGGAGCCTTTTGCGGTCTAAGGGACAGAAATCCTTCTCTTGCAGAAAGTTTCGTAGGCACTTATAGCAGAACGTGTGACCACAAGGCGTGTCCAATGGCTGTAGCAAGGGTTGAAGGCAAATATGGCAAACCAAGTCATCGTCCACCTCATTCTGATAATTGTACAAGTGATTCTCTCTTGTCCAGTGCTGTTGGCCACATTCAAAGCAGAGCGGGTTCAAGTTCTGTTCCGCTGAGACCATCTCTTCATTTGAAGTACCCATTGTATGGTAAACTGGGTCAATTCTCTTATCAGTAGAGATCTTGCTCGTAAAGGTCCTTGCTGTTTAGTAAAGAATCATTACTCTGAAATATATACAAATATACAATTATTGATGCAAAAATGAGCTGCTATAACTAAGATGAGCAACAAAACTGAAACATAACACAAGAAGCAACTTCATACTTTTGGGTTGCATATATCATATGACTAAAAAATTGGCCATATGCAGAAAAAAAGGGGGGGGATAGGAAGACGAGGCACACTGTTCTCCCTTTGAAGTTTGTGGCATTTAATTCTCTTGCTAACTGCTCATCTCCCATAGGTTCCTTCCTCAAAAGGGGCAGCCAAGATTTTTACCATATACACATGTGTATAAGTTGTAAGTCATAGTTCAGTCCCATGGCATCGAGCACCCTGAAACACTGATGGTCAACCATAAGTAGTAGGATATCCTGAGTAGTAATCCTGAGATTCTTGGGAAAATTAATTAGTTATCCAGTATTGTGTTGTGCATTTTTCTGCTCCTTTTCTGAATCACTGTGTATGTATGGAATCCTTCCTGCCAAAGCTGTATATGGAAATAAATGCATAGCACTATCTGCTCTTTTCCCACAACCAAACATTTTCCAGGGCTACATACTTTCTATTACGGACTTTTTGACCGTAAGTGGAAAAACATGGGACAGCTGGAGCTCTTAGACTTAGTACAAAATAATTCATTTTTTTTAAAACAATGCTCCCATTGTTCAGTAATGTTGAAGTTATTAACCCCATTAATCAATCTTTCCCTTTGAAGCTGCAGGAAAATGACATATGTGTCTTCCCTTCCACTTTTAGGATTGTTGTGCAACTAAATAGGCTGCATATCAAAAGTTAGATGCGTACAAGAAAAATTTACATTGTCTGCTGATCTCAGTAGTGGAACATTAAAAGTCAGGTGTTTGTACCTTTGTAAATGCCTCCTATGAAGACAAAGAATGTTCTTGCTGGATGAATTGTCCTGCACATGCTTTAATCTTTAACTGATATACAATAGGTTCTTTGATGGTTTTGAATTGTTTCTCCCAAATTACATAATCATGTTGCCAAAAAACCCAGAACGTATATTAGGCCCGTACCTTTATTAGACTGATTAACAGTTTACAGAATAGCATGCAAACTTTTGCTTTTCCAAGAACTCTTCATGAAAAAGGCACTGAAAAATCCAAGAAAAAGCTGCACTGCACTTCCCAAATTGTGCTTATTGTCACTTCTCATAGTCTTTTGATCCGGTTTTTGCATTCACTCTTTCCACCTTTCCCATTGTGTAGGGGAACAAAACCAGCATTCTTCCAGTTGTTGGACACAGATGTAATCTTAATACATACATTAAACAAGTTACACAATTACTCCATAAGTAACTACAACATTTCTCTACTTACATCCTCTATATCTGCAGCCTTACAATTTTCCAACAGTCTCACAACATTTACGGCTCCTTTTCATCAACTTTGCACACTAGTATTTACAGAATTCATTCCAATTTCACTCTTCAGCACATAACTACCATTTCCATACAAATCCCTAAAATACTCCTTCTAGCATTTCCTCGCTTTAGTTTCATTTAATTACATTTATTTTTAATTCCATTCAATCTGCTGGATGTTCTTGTCTTCTTGTTTAGTCTTATTTACTCAAAACAAGTTTATTTCCACCAAAATCATTCCATATTCTCTCTCCCTCTTTTTATTTTAACTGTCCTCTCTTTGATTACATTATATGCAGCTATTTTTTCTTTCTGTGCACATTTTACAATATATTACATCTTCATTATTGTTTAATTTGTATTCCACCACAATCCATTCAACTCTCAGTGATTTACATGATAGACCTTTTGCATCATTCTCTTATGTGCATTTTCTCATCCACAGCCTCCTTTATTTCTTCATTTGACCAGACAACTTTTTACACACTCTACCTATTTCGGTGGCACTTTGTAACATAATTATTTTTACTCTTTTCAAAGCAGCTTTCACATCCTCTTTATTAAATTCTAGTTTCCATTTATTACATTCACTTCCCATTCCATTTTGATACTTTTTCATACAGGACTCATATTTATTTATTTTTATTTATTTATTGTATTTATATAGCCTCCCATCTCACATAAAAGTGACTCTGGGCGGCTATATAAATCATTTCTCTTCTTGCAATCATTCTACTTCCAATTTAATTTCTTTCCTTTCTTCTTTACTTCCATGACTTTTCCTCAAGATACACTTTTGACATCACAAAGAAATTGTTCCAAATTCAGAATCTTTCACTACTTTTGTTTCCTTCATGAATGTTCTCAAACTTTCTTCATTAAACAAGCTAACCCACCATGCTTTTTTAACATTTATTCTCATTCTTTTGTTATGCATACATATGGTAGACTGATGCTTAAAAAGTGAATTTGAAACAAACAAACCATTCCCATTCTTTCTTGGGGCACTAAATGGCCCAACCACTTTTTCTGTATTTTGTCTCATTCACACCCATCTATTCATCTTGCCATAGAACAACTAAGAAAATGGGCATCCCAGACCCTTCCCTATAAATCTGTTCTAAATTTATTTACCTGCCTCTTATCCACCTGATGCACAAAAAACTAATACACTGAAAAACCTGTAGCCTAGTGAATAGCATAAGTAGTCCTCACCAGGTGCACTTAGGATGTTTCACTGCCTAGTTTCAGTTTTGGCAGGGTTTATTGTAAGCTTTTATTTCACCGTGGTACAAACAGTTGACACCCACCCATCTCCGAAGGCTTTCACAACTGAAATAAATGGAAGAGGAAATGGAGAAAGAAAATGGGAATGAACAGAGAAAGAGACAAATATGTAGGCTGCTTAAGCAATACCGAGAGGAGCAAAGTTTGAGACAGGAAGACTGGGAAATGTGGAAATAATTATGGATATGCTTTGAAGGAGAAGAGAAATATGGTGATGTTGTGCCCTCTCCAGGTTTTTTGGGCATTGGATTATCACCTTTCCCAAGCACATAATTGGTATTCATAGAATCACAGAGTTGGAAGCTGCCATTTAAGGTGGCCATCAAGCCTACCCTCCTGGACAATGTAGGAATCCGAATTAAAGTATCCCAGACATATGGCTGTTTATCCTCCAGTTAGAGCTTTTGAAACTTCCTCCTCCCACAAAAACATAAGTCTTACCCTCCACCTCCAATTATAATTGTGACAACTAGGATTTACCCACTGTGCTAAATTGTTATTAATATTTAACAATTGTTATTCATTATGAAAATATGGTGAGGATTTTGCTTATTTTCACTTTTAGATTATACCAGAGGTTAATTATCACTCTTCACAAAAAAGCTGTGTTTTGTAATGGAGCCTACAAATTGTGCAGTACTGGAATCAGTGTTTTTTATATATTCATAAATGACACAGAGTTAGGGATGGAGCAGTAAGGTGGCTACTGATGCATACTTAAAATAAACGGGATGGCAAAACTCTGTAAAAGAATTTCTCTAATTCAAGGAATGGGCATTACAAGAAAAAATGCATCTGAATGTTAAAAATGTGCATCACTTTACACAGAGTTAAAAAAAAAAAATCAAACCTAATTTCACATATATCCTGATGGGTCTTGGCTCAAAATGACTAAACAGAAAAGGGATCTTTGAACCAACTGAATCTGCCATGATTTGCTTGGATCATTTATATTTTCATAATAAGGGGCGGTAAATTAATTTTACAAGCTATCTACTCAACCAAGCTCTATTTGTATTGCCTTCAAGCAATATTACTATGAAATAAAGGGAGATGCTAAAAGGTTAGTGGGTTGAGAAGACAAACTCTGATTAAGGATAATAAGAGAGACCAATGATTGTAAAAAAAAAAAAAAAGCTGCATGATTAAGAGTACAAAGCTAATATCTGAATTAGTGTGCGTAGATCTAACAAATGCTATGCCCTTGATACACATCTTGTGTGTTGATCTGTTTGTACTTTTCTCTCTCATTCATCTTGAAGAGGAAACATGGTGGTTGGGAACGTTTTCCTACATGTCTCAATAGGATTGAAAAGACTCTCTAGGCATGAAAGCCAGTGTGCTCTATGGTGTTTATTAATCTCCTCTGTACCAACAGAACCAGGAATTGCCATTTCCTTTTCACCTAAGGCAGCTTGTCTAAATAGGAAATCATATTCACATTAAATACACCAAAATAGTTGCAGGAAGCTGAAGGAATGTGGCTAACTGAATGTTTCCACAACTGAGGTTATTTTGAGGATGTCTACAAACACCTGAACAATTGGTGGAAAAGACAAGGGTGTAAATGGTTTTTTTCCCCTTTTCAGTTATATTTTAACCTTGTGAATGGATTGTTTATTTCCTCTGCTGTGAATGCTCCTATTTAGCCTCTCATTATTATACTATGGGGAAAAATACAGACACTTCTGCTAGAGCAAAATCTATGTATCATTAAACAACATGCTGCAATTTTATTGCCTAAATACTATGCTTGTTTTAAAAGTCTGCATGCATGATATACTCAGAAAGAAAAAAAGACTAGAGTATCATCTGCACGTTGCTCTATCTTTGACAACTGAAAGCTACACCCCAAATTTCAAAGTGCAAAATCCAAAAGGTTTTAATGAAGTTCTTATCTGCCCATTAATACAAGACCTGTGGATTTAATCAATTTGCATAGAACAAACCACAAGAAGCCCTACTGAAAGTTACCTTACTGTGACTTCCAGCAGAAATAATCATCAGGTTTTGCCCAGAATACAAGGACTACTTCTGGAATAAATGGAATTGTCTCCTTCAGCACTCGTTGGGTGAAATTTGTGTGATCAGCTGTCTTCTCATGTCTAATTTGGGTCAACTTCATGAACAAGGTAACTAAGTAATCTTAAATGTTTAGTATTATAAATAAATAAATAAATAAATAAATGTGACAGATACATTGAGAGCTAGAGCTCTCCAGAGCAGAATTGCCATTTATGTTAAGAATCAACTGCCACCTAATACCAAGCCTGAGAAATGCAGAACAAGATGTCTGTTGGCTGTGGGAAAAGGGAGAAAAAGAAGTGCCAA